TTGAATCACTTATATCATCTTCAGCATTCTCTTCTTCATTCTCAGGTATTAAAGGCCCATATATAAGTTCTAAATAACTTTCTACAGTTTCATTTTCATTGGCTCTTGGAGCAAACATCCGCTTAAGCATACACATGTATGGATGTACCATATTAAGTGTCGGAAATTTGCCACCTGATAATCGTCGTGTAATAGTTTCAAATGGTTCCAACAATTTAATCATTTCTTGAACAAAACTATTTTTTAAGAATAAATTTGTAAGTCAAAATTTGGAAATAAATAAATGAATTGTAAAAGAAAAAAAAACCATAAAAAATCATAAAAAAAATTGTTAAATTCATTAATAAAAAAATTCATAAAAATTCATAAAATAAATGTAAATTAAAATTTCCAAAAAAAAGTTTCGTTCAATGTAAATTTTGTAAAAAAAAATTAAAATTCATCAATGAAAAAAAATTAATCCATTATAATTCATTTATTAAAATTTGGTAATAAAAAATTCATAAAAAATTTGTAAAAAAATCCATAAGAAAAGTTCATAAATAAATTATAAAAAGCAAAAAAAAATTTGTAATAAAAAGTTAAAAAATTCGTATAAAAATTCATAAGAAAAATTAGTATAACGATAATTTGTAAATAAATTGTAAAAAAGCAAAAATAAAAATAAATCATAAAAAAAAATCGTTAAAATTCATTAATTAAAAATCCATAAAATAATCCATAAAAAATTCATAAGTATAAATTATTGCCATAAAAAATTATATCAGCGTAAATACATAAAAAAAATTCATAAAAAATTTGTTAAAATTTGTTAGTAAAAAAATCATAAAAAAATCCATAAAATTTGTAAGGAAATTTAATGTGAATTTGTAAAAAATTTGTCCATAAAATAATCCATAAAAAAATTCATAAGCATAAATTATTGCCATAAAAAATTATGTCAACGTAAATTTGTAAAAAAAATTTATAAAAAAATCCATAAAAATTTGTAAGGAAATTTGATGTGAATTCATAAAAAAATTTGTAAAATTGTAATAAAAAAACTGTTAAAATTTGATCATAGACTCATAGTAAGCTTTTTTTAGAAAATACAAATTAAAATAATTTTAAATTTGACTTGCATTTTCTCATCATGTGTCAGGCATAAGCTTTCCAATTTTTCACCTTCTTTATTTAATATACGATCTCTTTCTGATAATAATTTCGTTGCAACATAGCGCATAGCATTATGCAGCTCGAGAACCCTTTTCCATGCAATTAACGTTGAGTTCCATCGAGTTTTTGTATCACTTAGAACATCCAAGGGACTAGTTTGTATTTGGGATTCTTCAATAATTGACACATCTTTGTTATTGATCTCAAATTGTGACTCTCTCAACCTTTGCGCCTGTTTTGGTAACCGAAAAAAATTTTGTAGACTTTTAATTCGCCGGTGAATGTCTTTACAATGCTTCAATTCTTGTTTTACAGACAGCTGCAAGGTATGCTCCTCTCAAGGGTGTCTTTTAATGCCAGGTAGTGATTTGCCTAAAGTACTTACAGCTTTGATCATATTTGAACCATTATCGGTAGAAATTTTAAATATTGTATTTTTTAGGCGCCATTGATCAATAATTCGGTATAGTTCATCACTGATGGTTTCACCTGTATGTGGATACTCCAAATGACTGCAAGTGAGCAAAACTTCATAAAAGGTAAAATCTGAAGAAAGCCAGGTTGCCGTAACTCCAATGTACCCATGTTTGCTTCTTGCTGTCCAGAGATCTGTGGTTAAATGAACAGACATGATGGTACTGCCAAGCAAGTTCAACAATTGATCTTTGCTCCAAATATAAGCTTCGTGTATTAAGTTTTTTGCAGTTTTTTCGCATGGAATTTGGAACCCAGGTTCACAGCTATGAACAAAATTACGAAATGCATCATTTTGGAGGATGTAGAGAGGTTGAACGAATTTAATTATAAATATTATTAGGAGGCGCATTAGTTCTTGCTGCCGGGTTTCACTACATCGATAATTTGTTATTTGTGCATCATTTTCTTTTGGCTAATGTAAAAAAATTAAAAATATTTTTAGTATTATGAATACTTAAGTACAACTTCTTCATGTCTTACCTCATTGTTTACGTCCAAATATTCCTAAATAATTATTCTTTGTTACACCATTTTTATCCCGTAAGTGAACTGCCAGGTTTGATGTTGATCCCCCCTTTCGGCTATAAGGATATGGTTTTCTATTGGCTGCAAGTTTTCATTCACATAGTATACAGTAAGCAATTTCATTATCATCAGTGTCTTTGTGAAAAAAGTAGGTAGTGTGGCTTTTGTTTGTTCTATCAATTGGCTTGGCGATTTCTGGAGATGTAGCATTTCTTTTACGCTTTCTGCGATCATTAGAAAAAGTGCTTGAATGGGTAACTGTTGAGTCTGTCTCAGACATAGCAACTTTAAACCAAAGGAAAAGGAAATGAAAAAAAGCAAGACATTTTTTTTTATCGTAAATTTAAAATTTAGACCTTGTGAAATCAATGAACCTGAATGATTTCCATATTTCATTTGATTCGGTACACAATTGCACCAGAAAAGAAATTGGATTTCATATATTTGGATTAACCGAAGGAAACCGGATTTATTACTATGAATTTACTATATCTGGATTAACCGAAGGAAACCGGATTTATTATATCCGGATCAACCAAAGGAAACCGGATTTATTATATCCGGATTGAACCGAAGGAATTCAGATTTATTCGTATCTAATTCGGATTTAAAAAATAAATCCGGTTCGAAACTCTAATAATCACATGTTATATATTAAAATTGAAAAATCCTATTACAAATAACCAAAAATCGGCAATTTCATGTTAAAAATCAGAAATATTATATTAAAATCAGAAATATTTATTAAAATCGGAAATATTATATTAAAATTGCCAAAAAATCAGACAGCCATATTAAAAAGGGCAAAAATCTGATTTTTATTTATTTGACCTGTGTATATCTGTAGAAAATACGTTATAAACGTATGAATTTTAATATACTGTAGAATAATACGTATACCGTATCCTTTATTTACAATATTTTTGTGAACCGTATATAAAATACTGATATACAGTAGAAATGATATACGTTATAGACGTATGAATTTAATATACCGTATCACACAGTATGTTTACCGTATACTTTATTGTATTTTTTACTAAGCACATTTTGTGAACAGTATACATTATACTGATATGCCGTATGTAAAAATGCAAACTGTATCAAAAATACGTATATACAGTATAAAAACCGTATACATATTTTTTATAGGGTAACCTTGCAAATTTTCTTGAATTTTTTTTTCAATTTAAAAAATGTATGCATATTTTTTATTTAAATACTTTTTGAACGTGAAACTATCGCAAAATGCGAACTTTTTTTTGTCATTTTCCTTAAACCGTTTTCTTTTAAACACTAAAAGTTTGTGATCTTTTTAATAAAAAAAAATGGAATCTACCCACGAAAATAAAAAAGATAAAAATACTGAGAAACCTATTAAAGCTTCAAGAGTCAGATGGACTGAACCTGCTATTAAAGCTTTATTGTCTTTTCTTCTTGAACATAAAGAAAAGCTTGAAGATTTAAAGTATAAACGTGATGCTACATCTAATCCAAAGAGTGTTCAATTGTGGAAAGATGCTGAAGCTTTTTTTTTGACTTTTGAATTTGAACAATCTTATAGTGTTGTTCAAATTGCTAACAAGTGGAAGAATTTAGTAGATAATTATAAGGTTTTTATTTAAAATTAAATTTTCTTTACTTATTATTTAAATTTATTAATAAATTTTTTTTTATTTAAGTCGCAACTTGCAGCTTCAAAAAAAAGTGGTGGACCTCCCATTGTTATTCAATATAAAGAAGAGATTGAGGCAATTTTGAATAAGTATAGGCCTACATTAAATCCAAAATCTTGTATTGATTCTTCCGTACCCTTACCAAGAATAGAAAATTTTGATCTTGCGCAAGAAGATTTTGAAGACAATAACAC